TGCCTCCGCAACCGTTATTGTTTCCAAGGGAGGTCTGATGTTTGTGGGTCTGTGTGCTCTCTCGGCCCACTTGCTTTTTCTTTGAGTTCTTGCCAAGTCCAGCCGGCCTGTAGGCTTCTTCATCTCTTGAGAATCAAACTAATCTTTTATTGAAACAACTGGGAGAAAGCAATAATTTCCACATCTAAGTTCCCTAATTATTAGCTAATTGTTGTTAGTTTTGTTACTGATGTCACTTTATTTACTGAGATATTATTCATTACACACAAATGCACCTGTGTTTTACAATAACCTCTTGAACCCTCATGAAATTTGTTTTCCACTTTCCCACATAATCATCCTTATTTTTCCTGATTAAACAATAAGTTATTTAAGTTTAAAATGAGACATTTATTTAAATGTGTATTTATTAAATTTACTTAATCAAATAAACAAAAAACACAGCTGATTTTGTTTAAACTTTATTGAGAAAGATATAAAAATTGCTGCAACCAGCAGGAAATTTTGTTATAAAGAAAGAAATAAAGACAAATCATTTGCCAACAATTGTTTTGTGTGTGTGTGTGCATGCATACATGCATGTGTGAGTATTTTTACATGTAAAAAGAGATTGTGTGTGTTGCTCAGATGGGGAGAGAGGCTTGTAGATTTCTGCACTTTTTTCTGGCCGACCTTTTCCTCAGGTTCTTGCAGTTTTTCGGAGGGCTCTTTTTTTTCGCTTTTCAATAAGTTCAAAAATTGGGTGAGAAAACAAAATCAAGAGAAAGTTAATGTCTTAAAACATTTCTGTGAATTTAATTTGTTTTAGTTTTAGCCTGAACTTACAGAGAAACTTACAGTTTTTAGATTTGCCATTGACAGGCAGTCGGCACTGACAAAATGTGTTTGCTGTCTCCTTTCCTGTTCCAGGATAATCCAAATTTATAACAGAAAAGACAAAATAATAATAATTAAATTATTATAATAATAAAACAGTTTGATTGACACACTAATTCCATTTTGTTCATATAATATAATGTTCATATAATATAAAAATCTACATTCTAAAGAAACACAAACAGATCTTTTATGACACTTTGTTTACCTTTACAGTTACAGGGTGTTTTGTTGTGTCTTTGGGTGTTGAATGGAAGTGAAGTTGTCAGTGGATGTCCACCAGAAGAGGCTGTGACACAATGTATATCAAACTTTAAACAAAAAACTGATGTCGTCATCAGAACGAAACAAAGACCAATTTCCTTATAAAGATGAACCACAGTAATTAAAAAGTGTTCAAAAATTTTTTAAATCTCCCATACCATCATTCCGAGACTCTTCATTTCCCTCAGGAACACCTTTAACAAAGTTATATATAAAAATTAAACAATACAAACTGGATATGATTGTTGTAAAKTTTAATTTAAAAAACATCCTACCTTGAATTTGCTCAATAAGTATGAACAGGAGGAGTATTGACAGCAAAATCAGTCTTGAGGCCATGTTTTGTTGGGGAAGTCAGAACAAATCAATGCTTCCAGAGGAAGAAATCCAGTTTCTACACCAACTTCTGCTCCTTTGAGGGGTAGGAATCGACCTGTCTTCTTATAAAGGTTGGTGCTGATGTCTGAAATTCTATCCGTGGTGCGTTCACCTGCCAACAATTTCCCAACCATTACATTTAGAGGTGTGGACACAAACACATGCCAAGAAATGTGATCGGAGCTGTGATAAAATTTGATGTAAGAAAATACGGGCTTAACGTTATTCTGACCTGGGCTCCAAGGAGTCTTGTTTATTTTATGTTTTTATGTGAACTCTTGCCCTATTTTGTTGTGTGTTATAAAAAGATTTTAACCTTTCTTCTCCTGATTCAAGTTGATTATATTTTGTCCCATCAGTTACATTTCTTAACAGATATGAGGGAAATAAACAGTACATTCATGTAAATTCTGGTTAGTTTACAACTTATCATTTACATAGTTCTTGGTACTGAAAGCTCTGTCCATGGGCGTAATTTGGGGGAGGGGCTTAGGGGGATTATGACCCCCACAATAATTTTATCCAGTCGATACACACTGCCTGGCCAAAAAAAATAAAAAWAAAAAGTTGCAAAAAAAGGTCACACACTCGAATATCGTTGGACTGCCTTCAGCTTTGGTTGCAGCACACATTCTGTCATTGTTTCAATAAGCTTCTGCAATGTCACCGGATTTATTTCCATCCAATGTTGCATTATTTTTTCACCAAGATCTTGCATTGATGATGGTAGAGTCTGACCGCTGTGCAAAGCCTTCTCCAGCACATGTCAAATATTCTCAATGGACTCTGTGATGGCACTGATAGAACAACCTGGCCATTCGGTTTATTCAGGTAGTCAGCATCCTCATTCTTTGAGCACATACTGTTGCTGAACGTAGACCTGACACACTGCAGCAGCCCCAAATAGCACCAGGTGGCAATTGTTTTTGGCTGTGCAGCGTAACCCCCAATAAAATTACATCCACTAACACAATAGAAAWGAACTGGTTAAGAACACAGCTGCTTTCTTGTTGTCTTTGGGTAGCTTTGACCCTATTTCAAAATTTATGTCATATGTAGAGTATGTTTAGGTATAATTGCTGAAAATGATATGCAGGGTTTTAGTCTGCTCATGGCTGGATTTGTTGAATCGTGTTGTTATTTTGCACACCAAGTAAATACATATAATCTTGGAACATTGATAAATTTAGGTATGTCCTTTATAATACATCCCAAAAATGCATTTGTTGTTAGAAAAAATGGGGAGAAAAAGAGTAAGCCTTTTTCTATTTGTTGAACGAATGAACAGAAAAGGTGCAGAGTAAATACAAAGAAAAGAGTACAATGTATTTAAACACCCACATATTCTGAATCGTTCTGCGAAAGTGAATTATTCAATAAATAAAAAGGCAGAAAGCATAAACCTCACCCCCAAAAAACATTAAAAAAATAAATAAAAATAAAAACTTGTGTCAAGTTGTCCAGATGTCAAAGCTGAAAATGAAATTTAGAAAAAAAAAAATCTACTGAAAGCTTCTTTTGGACCTTTGCATGCTGTAATGCTAACAATCAATCAAATATGAGCAAATTAAAGTCTAAAACATATGACAGGGCTTTTAGCAGTCAGAATCAACCTTGCTATGGATCCGCAAGCCAAATTCTATTTTAGCAGCATGTTTTCATGATTGTTTTACAAAAAAAATGTCTTTCAGAGATGTGTAGATAAGATTAAATGTTTTATGTTCTCACCTCAAGTTTCAAAAATGCGTCCCCTCTTCAGAATGTCATCCCGAGATGAGAACAAACCACTCAACCAGGTATGAATATTATCTTTGTGGATAAAATCTGTATGTGCACTCAGGCTGAACCTCATGGCTGCTATCAATCTTGGGAGACATGAAAATGTATAAAAGCACTGGTTCAATGGAATTCAAAGTAAGTCAGCAACCGCAAAAAGCTGGACAGAACGAAGATAAATCAATCACACTAAAACCACCTTGTTTGCAATTTAATGTGTTTCTATCATCACTTACACAAATATTCATCCTGGACCATTTCAAATTCCCGTGACACAATCAACATCCAAGAGGCTCTCGAGCGTGTTAGTGTGAAGTAAAACATTTTAAATCACAGTATGAGCCCTTATGCTGCCGAAACGATCTAATCTGAAGCACAAGCAACTAGATGAACACAATCTAATCAGATACATGTATACTTGCAAAAAGAAAACATAAAACTCTACCACAGTTACAACAGGCGACGGGAAAAGATAAAAGCAATAACATAACATGGTGGAAAGCAAGTAGACAGGTCAAAATTTTTATCATGTAAACAAAATCAATACCTTTGGTCATTAATGTTACCACATACAAAAAAACCAACAAAAAATCCAAATGAATATATTTTTTCACAATAGACACAGCAGGGAAAAAAAGGCAGAATTAGTATTATTGGTGACRTTAAGTTTGATGACTTGGACCTCACTTTGATTTTATAGAAGCTTTCTTACTGGAACGTTCCTGGGCTATAGTGAAACTTAATAAACAATATTTACAATTTCATCTTAACTTTTCCTGTAAAAGCCAAAATGACTTCCAAGAAAAAGGTCTGATAACAAATAAGTGAGTTGTTCTATAGTTCCRACAAAGAAACAACCAAAATATGACAAGGGCAGCTACATTTGTCAAGTACAAAGCAGACTCTGACACAAATCTGTGTCCAAAACCATTTTCTGACTACACCTTTGTCTAATTTTGTTTGTAAGACAGTATATTGGTGGGTTTTCTTCATCAGTGTCTTTATGAAGTCAATATCACAAGACAGAAGTTTAAATATATAAGTTTTGGCTGAAGAGAATATATTTACTGCGTGTGACTATGAACAAAGCTGTGATTGTGATAAGCAACRGTGAGACCTACAGATTCAATAAACTTAAAAGCTGCTGCATAAAATATTTRTTCATAACCTCTCAAGGTCTGAACTGTTGTAATGTGTTTTTTTAAACTCTGCTTTCATTGATATCCAGGAGATGCTCTTATCATATTCATCTGTTGTTTCAAATGAAATTTTAAAACATGAAACATTTTWTGAAAAAATGGGGAACAGAAGACAGAACACTCAAGGAGGACAATGTCTCTCTCTAGCACAAACACATTTCATTTTTGACTACCGTAAACACACAAAAACCTTCTGGTCCCATTATCAGCAACAGTGGTCACCAACCCTGGTTTTAGAGAAGACTTGCACAGTTTAAGTGCTGCACTTAACACCTAATCCCCTTTTTCACRATGCAAAGTCTTAAAAAGCTCAAGGCAGTGATCTCTGGAATCAGGGGAAAGGACCACTGCTGTAGTGTATACATGACGTTTTTGTAACCTTGGCACTCAGTTCTCATCAGGTTTTTCTAACAGAGATTTGATATGGGCGTGCAGGGGTTCACACACAGCCTGGTAGCCGTGAGAGGTCAGGTGAAGGTAGTCGTACATGTCCTGGTGGGAGATGCTGCCGTCCGAAAGGACAAAGCCGGGGTCCACGTTCAGGAAGGAGCCATGGGGAACAGATGATAAGGCATCCTGGACCAGCTTGTTCACCTTSGCGTTTCGCTCTCGCAGAGGGTTGGGCATTTTACCTCTGGGCAGTAAACCCTGGAAAACAGATGTCATAATAACTTTTAACTTTTCTTTTAAAACAAATTATTAATCTGAAGACATTTTACCTTATTCCGTCCCAAATAATTTATAGCATTCTTAATGTGGTTTGTTAAATCTTTATGCATATTGTTATTGTTACATTTGAGTAATGTCTGCAGCCCTCTGTTTAACCTTGCTTCAAAAAGATGTGATGAAACTAAAAGGAGTTTGATGGTTGAATGAACATCATTTTTCCTTTTCAACCAACATGAAGGTTAGTTGATGTAATGCTTCCTTTTAAAAAAAAATAAAAAAAATAGTGAAAATAACATACAAGTACAAGTGTGTGAGCATTGGGGAGCTTGTTGTGAATGAGCTGAACGATAGCCATGATTCCACCACAGATCTGTTCAGGTGTGTGACCGTGATTGTTCGTTCCAACCCACAGCACTACGACCTACAGCAACGAGAAGAGACAGGAAACAAAGACAGGGAACGTGTCGCCGATAGTTCAGCACAGAGGTGCCTGAAATTTGGATCTTAGCACACAGTTGAGCATAATCAGTCTWGTGTGTGCATAAACAAGCATGCGTTTGTTCGTTATATTTGATAGCATTTTCAACCTTTGGGCTAATGTTATCCAGTTCACCGTTGCTCAGTCTCCATAACACATGCTGTGTTGCRTCACCACCGACCCCAAAGTTAAGGCAGTGGAGAGGAGAGAACAACTGCCGCCAAATCTGCAAGCAGAAAAAAAAATAAGCAAACAAATACCTGTTTATAGAAAACATATATATTAAAGCAGATGCATACAGTTAGATTCATTTAGTATTTAAAGAAATAATGCTGCAGTTTTATAATTTGGTAATTTCTAAATACAGTGCAACTTTAATGTGAAAATACTAAAATCTCAAGAGAAGATTTGGGAATTACTGCTTTTTAATAAAGAGAACTAACTTTCCTGAGGCTTTGATGCAAATAAATTAACACACGTACAAACAAAAAATATATATACAGTATTATTGTTAAATCTCCTTGGTAAACAATGATAGTGTGGAACCAACTGACATATATATACACAAATGCTGTACTTTTTTTTTGTTGTTGTGATGTTTTCCCAGGCCTTTACTGCAGTTTTCTGTCTTCTGTATTTCTTTCTTCCTATCTATATTTAGTTTGTCTTCAGTCTGTGAAAAAGTGCTTTGTCTGTTTGGAATCAGGTGACTGGCTCAGTCACTGTAGCATTATTGTACTTCTATTATATCAGTTCTCCTCTGTGCTTTTAAGTTTGTTTTGGGTCATTTTTCATCTGTATTTTGAAGTTTTAAACAGTCAACTTCCCTTTTTTTTWAATTATAAAAGTAGTGTGTCTCCAGACTCTTTCTGTCTACTTCTTTCTTATGTAAACACTGTCAATGAACAATAGTGATCCAGTGCAACAGGAACATTTTAATTAATGTCCATGCCCATTATGATCAATGCTGTCTTCTGTTGACACTGAGGCTTGTTACTGCTCCTTAGTTCACTTGTGCATTAGTTATTTTCTCACAATGGGTTTGTTTGTTAAACCTGTTCTAAAATTCTCAAAGGGGTTTGTTTGTTTTCATGATCTCTGATTCCATTGTAGTAAGAGCTAATTTGACGACATTTTGTACACAAGTATTTATTCTTTTTAAATTAATTCCAAAATAATTTGTGACCCTGAAAAAAATAGGTTTGAGATAAAAAACTTATGAAGCCTAAACTCACACAAAAACATTCATTTTAATATGCATATTATTCTGTAATTTTTTTAGTACTTCTACTGTATACATATCAGGCTACACTGGAATATGTTTATTTTTATGTTGCATATATACTGTTTAGGTTATCGTTGCTAGACACTTTTATATTCTGACATTTTTATTTTGTGCTCTGTATTTTTTCTATTTTTGACTTCTGTCTTTTGCAGTTTCTTTATTCCCTGCTGCTATGGCAATAATAATAATAACAATAATAATAATAACAATAATAATAATAATAATATGCTCAGGCGATCAATAAAATAAAAAGCTCTCTATCAAATGGTAAATGTAAAACAATTTGCACCTATCTGCATATAAATGTGATCAGTGCTTTACCCCAAATTGATGCATGAGTTGAACGAGTGAGTCTCCCACAAACAGGACATCGGGTTCTTTGTCTTTGCTGTATGATACAAAGCCATCGTGCTGCAAAGTGAGGGGACAGAGCATATATATTCAGACTACTATACAAACATGCATATTTTTACACACAAAACAACTGAATGAATGATGCATTTTTGTTAATGTGATCTCAGGTGGTATGCTATATTAGGGCAGACTCCTTATGAATTTGATTTCAATCTAAAACCATTTAAAACAGTGAAATTTACAGAAAAGGATAACTTCGTTTTATCAATTATAAAAAAGCTAAATGRAACTTTTAAACTGTTTCGAAACCTGATGGAAAATATTTTTACTTTAGTAACAATGTAGTCAATCATAACGATATTGCTTGCTATAGTTATTTACATACCAAGGACATCCATCGTCCATCTCCCTGAGTGTCTTCACAGGGAGTGGGTGTGGCGGCTGGGTTCGAGTGTTCTGCACTCATTATTTGGCTTTGCTAATATGGGAAAGTATCCACGTAGACTTACAAAATATATACACTTTGTCAACAAACACCAAATCGGTTGGTCGATAGTCTTTTGCCCTACCTGCTAGCAAAATGCATCTATGGGGTTGCCTGAAATTAGCAACAACAGCTAGCTAGCCTATCGGTACAGGGGATAGATGTAGCTTAAAAGACAAAGAGCAGGCACAAAACTGTTTAAAAGGCAATATTGTGAAATATTTAGGAAATATTAGCTTCAAAACGTATTTACACCGAGAGATATAAATGTACAACAAGTCGCAATAAATCAAAACATCCTTATGTGCCCAATTCTGTGACAGGAAGTTAATTTTCACTGTGAGCGACTGGACCATTGCCCTCCATTAGCAGCAACGTGAACATTTTCAACTAATTGCCTTTTTTTGCAGATATTATTACTGTTACTACAAATTTAAGTTTACATTTCAAACCGTATTACAAAATAAGTTAAAAATAAACCGCATTTAAATTAGAAATAGGGTTAAAGTTTATTCCGTGTCACCCATGTTTTTGGTGGAAATGGATTAGCCCTGCTTGTTCTCGTGAGAGTTAGAACTGCGCGAAGAAACGCAGCTGCGGATCGTTGCCTGGCAACGACTCACTCATAATCATATGCTCGTAAACTAAAGTCGGGCGTCTTCGGTAAGCAACCTGTGTTAACTACCCGTTATTAATATAAAACTGCTTCAGTAACATTTTTAAGCTACTTAGCTTGGTATGTACGTGAATTTATGGTKAGGTTTTATTAAACAGAGCTGTGCCATCGACATGGCTGCACACATACACGTGTTCTGGTTGCACCTGATGGTGGTTGACGCTACATGCTGGTTGTAAATACAGTTAGAAAAGTGGACGAATGCTAAATTAAGACTTTTCTTCCCGGCAGGGGGCGCACACATACCGTTTTAGTCTAGTCAGTAATGTGGAAGCTGTCACTGAATATTATGGATATAAACATAAAGTTTAAATCCTTTTTTACAGTCTTTAATGTTACTCAGTCTCAGTCTTTATATAGCTGTAGGGGCCAGACATAGCTGTGTTGTTTTGTATACAGTATTCTTCATGTGCAGGTTTAGTCACACTGTGAGTCATCTGCTCAGAACTGTCTTCTGCTTTGCTGCTTGTGGCCCTTGTCAATATTTTCCCTGAATTATTTTTAATTTTAGACCAACACATAGTAATGTTATCCAGTAATAGTAGTGTGTAGCTTTATTTGTGGTTTCTACACTGCAAAAACTGTCCCATCTTACCAAGTTTTAAAATCTTATATCCAAACAAAAGTTCTTTTTGATCTTGTTTTGAGACTGATTTACTAAACAAGAACTGATTGTGTAAGAATAATAATCTTGTTTTCAGAATGTGTAAGAGTATTTGTCTTGTTAGTCTGAAAATTTGACTCAAATATAGTAAGAAAAAAATTCTGCCAGTGGAGTAAGAAAATTTTACTTAGTAAGATTATTGA